GGGACACCGGTAGAAGCCTTTTCGGGGGGGGGGGGGGGGGCTTGGTGGCGGCGGGCTCGGAGGCGGTTGCGATGGCGGCGGCGGGCTCGGCGGCAGCGGCCGTGGCGGGCTTGGGGGCGGCGGCGAGGGAGGCAGCGGTGACGCGGAGGCGGACTGGGCGGCGGCGGCGACGGCGGTGGTTGGCTTGGTGGGGGCAAGGCGACAGTGGGGGTGGCGAGGGCGGAGAAGGCGCCGGCAGAGGGGGCGACGGCGGCGCGGGCTCGGCGGTGGCGGCGACGGTGGCGGCGGCGAGGGCGGCGGCGGCGAGGGCGGCGGCGGGCTCGGCGGCGGCGGCGGCGAGGGCGAGGGACGCGCCTGAGGTGCAGGGAGGGCGTCAATACTCACAGCACTGGTGGTTCGGCCTCTAGGAGGCGGGCGGCACCCGAGCGGCTGGCGTATTTTCCGGCCAGGCCGACGAGGGTGAAGGCGTCGATGAGCATCAAGCCGCCCGTGGGCCGCGCCAGGGCCGCGGCGGGTCCTGGCGACCCCTCGAGGGAGGCCAGGGTGGCCAGGGCAGCAGTCACAGCCTGGGAGGAAAAGTGCGCCGCCGACGCGCACTTCTCGCGCGGGTCATTCTCGGAGCTGTCGGGGGCGTGCGAAGCTACCGCCTGCGAACGGCCGGTTGGCAGACGTCATGGCCGGCATGTACGACCCTTAAGAACCCGCGTACGACCAGAAGGTCGGCTGTGAGGCGAGGCTGAAGGCAGCCCAAAAACTGGTGGATTTGTGTTGCTGACAATTGAGGGCGATCCCGCGTGAACTGACGGCAGGCAAGCCGGCAGGTGGGGGGCGGGGATGTGCCGGGTGGATCCCCAAGCGGGCGAGCCGGGCCCGTGCATAGTTCGGGCGCGGCGGGCGCGCGAGCATGAGAAAGACGCACCGACATGCTGGCGCTACCGGTCTCTTGTTGCCTGATTTTGACGATTCTCGTTGGACCGTCGCTCGGAGCGAAATCCCAAAACCTCTCAGCTCAAAGGGGGAATTTATTTGTTTGGGCAGTGTTCGACCGGGCTACTGCGAGGCCCCGCGCCCCCGGCGGCGGCGCCCCCGCGCCGCGGCGCGCCCCGGGGGCCGCCGCGAGTCGCGACAAACCAAACACAAAGTCAAACGCGAACTTCTGAGCTTCTGTGCTCTGACAGTGACACTAGCACATAACTGGATAACAATGAGGACATAGCGTGAGCGCAGAGACAGGCGCACGTACATCAAGTGCGCGCAATACACCACACAGCGGAAGGGTGAGGAGCGGGGGCGGGAGGGTTTGCTTTTGCTCTAGGGGATCGGGGCGGAGAGAGCGGCGACGAAGCGGGGGGGAGAGCAGAAGCGAGCAGTGCCTCCGGAGCTGTCCCCTCGACTAAGCCTTGCCGGTCGCATGCACAAGGGCAGAACAGAGGGTCGGCACGCGCAAGCTCAACACTCACCAAAGAGTGCGAGCCGGCAAGAGCACGAGGCAGTGGCCGCTCGCGGCCACCGCCCCAGCGCGAGGCGGCGCTGCTGCCCCTCTAGGCGACAGAGGCCATCTTTGCGAGGATCGCGGCGCGAGCCGTCGACGCCTGCGATACAGCGCGACAGGTCCGGTTCCGGTGTGCCGGCACGAGCGGGAGATAGCAGCGCCGTCGGCACAGGAGAAGGCATCACCCCGGCGATTGGGACGCGAGCGCGTGGGCGTGCGTGGCATGGCGGTGGCGGGGTGTGGCGGTGGCGGGGTGTGGCAGTCGCCTGCGTCGCGTCGAAGCCGGGAGCCGGATTGAAGCTGGCGGGAGCCGCGGCCGCCGACCGGAGCGTCGCGGAGCAGTGCGTCGACTTTGGAAAGCCGCAGACGCAGGCGCCAAAGGTGGCGGCGGCCATGTCGAGGCGGTACTCGCTGCACACGTCGCCGCCCGGCGCGGGGGGCGGTGGCGGAGGCGCCGCCGGCGCCACCGGCCCCTTCTTGGGCGGGCTGGAGGGGGCGGGCCTCGACGGCGCCATCGGCTTGGGCACGGCGGCGGCCTCGTGGCTCGGCGCGGCGGCGCCGTTGGCGGAGAGGGCGGAGAGGGCGGCCGCGTGCTGCGAGCTGCGGCGCGACTTGATGCCGAACGCCTGCGCGCGCGGCGAGGCTGCTCGCTGCGAGGCCCCACGCCGCGGGGACGGGCGTGGCGGCCGCGGCGAGGGAGAGGCAGCATAGGGATTGCTTCGAGGGAGTGCCGCTGTAGGGAGAGGCTGGCGGTGGGGCTGGCGGGGGGAGAGGCGCTGAGCTGGCGGGAGGCCTGCTTCTTGGGCACCACGCCCTGTGCGTTGAGGCGCTGCATCGCCTCCTGCCGCTGCGAGCTGGCGCCGCCCGCCTCCTTCTCGATGAAGGAGCGGCGCGTCTGCGCCGTGGGGTGCATCGGGTGGGGGGTGGTGGAAACGAGAGGGTGGCGAGAGCGGTGACAGCGAGAGTGGTGGTGGTGA